GACAAGCTACGAGTATAATTAATAAAAGAGCTCTGTCCAGCATCCACAAAATTAATCACCTCAAATAATGAAATAGATCATTTATGAAGGAGCTGGTTTATTTAAATTTTAAAGCAGTTTTATGAACCTACTTCATTCCTCAATATAATTCCTAATAATCGTTGTATTTTGTTAAGTAGTTATGAAATTTATTGAAACTCTCCTTCGATAACTCAGGTTGTTGGGTTATAATTTAACCCTTGTAACTGCGGACTGTATTAAACACTGATTTGTTTGTATATAATGTATTTGTTGCAGTTCTTAATTACAATCACTGATTTATCACTAAGTTATAATAAAAGAAAATATATTCATATTTATTATACATGTTGTTAAGCGGACTTTACTTTAGAAGTGAACAACTAGTTCAATTAAAACCGCTACCCCCTCTACCAGGGGTAGCAACTATTCCGTCTAAAACTTAATGCCCTGAAGGTTGTCACCTTCATGGCTAATATAATAATACAAAAATACGTCCGAGCAATCGTATATATACATAAATTATTATATGTAAGGAGAAAACATCTATCTATTTTTGAGAAACAACCCTTCCAATTAATTGGATAGGATTAATAGATTACAGTTAGTTATGTACTAATGAGAAATAAATAAAATAACTGTTGGGATTTAGAATAGAAGATATGGATGCTAAAGTCAACTACGAGCATGTCTGCCATCACTTTTAATAATCAGTATATAGTTAATTGTTTGTACATAACTTCCCTAAAAACGTTCTTAATATTAGTTAATATACAATTAAGTAATGGTGTAGGTTATTGTGCCTTGAGACATATTACTGAAACTTTACACAATTTGATCAATAAAATTACTAAACAATTACAAATCAACACGTGTATAGGATAAATTTCAAATCGTAAGAAATAAATAATAATAAATTAGTACACGACTGAATAATATTATATAAACGTAAAGATTCATCTTTAAATCAAAATCTATAGAACCATAAGTATTGGAATATTAAAATTATAACTACATTTATGTTCAATACCAAAAACTATGCCCCAACCTGCCCTACATATATATATATATATATATATATATATATATATATATATATACATATATACCTATAAACATTATTATTCACAAGTGTGTTTATTTGCAATTTAAACTGGTCCATAACTAGACCAGCACATGCATTCTTAGATAAAAAGAAAAGTTTAAATTTATATATAAGTATAAAAATACACACACATATACATACATACATTTATATATATATATATATATATATATATATAAATTAAAATGCTTATGTCCCGGTTAAAGTACCTAACATATCAAGTTTTAATGTATATTATTATGTATATAATAATCGTAAACAAGTTGACTATTTTTCTTGTAAGATGCAACATATGTGTTTAATAGTTTGTAAGATATTGAAAAAAACAATAATTATTATGAGTATATAAATAATTCTGTCACATATTGATGACAATCTAGATGAAAATCGATTGTAGTTTGATTGATTATGATTTTTATATGCAGATTTATGTGATCATGCATCTCTTTAACTGTTGAACTTAAAAAAATATACATAGGTATTCTATAAAGGGTGACAAATGAAGAAATTAATGAGAACAATCTTTATTTATTATGATTAAAACCTTAATGAATTTCTATGGGATATAAAATAAAAAGAATAGATATTTTCAGTTATTTATAATAAGCCTTTTGTTATTTATCCTTAATTATTGTAGACAAACCATTATTGTCTACAAGATATTATAAAAATCAGTAAGCATGTTAAGAAATTCAATTCATTATATATATATATATATATATATATATATATATATATCAAAATATATAACAAAACATGATTTTTTAAACAAAGCTAACAAGAATTCTTTGTAAAATCTTTTTTTTTCTTATATTGATTCTTTCTTCCTTTCTCTTGCGTATTTTGTCTTTGTTAAGTTAGATTTTTTTAATTGATTAATCTGACTAATCTTTACGCGAAAAGGACAAAAAATACATGTCACAACCGTACCCACAAAATTTGTCACATCCATACCCAACGTACACTTTTGAAAACAAATCTTCATTATTACTGAGCTGAATTATCTAAGGAAAAACTAATTGCTAGTAAATAACTACTAATGTTCAACTTACAGCAAAGTAACAAACTAACTGACTGTATACAATTAACCGTTATTATTTAAAGAAATCGAACATAAAAACTTACTTTTAACTCTTTAAAAGCGATGCGGTCTACAGATCATGTCAATGTAAGGCACTGACTGAAAACAATAATGGAAACTTGTTCGAACAAACATACTTCATCTTTCTCCCTTTGGACCCTATCTCAAAATCAGTATAGTTTAGCTGTTATGACGGTTGTCACTACCCTGGCACAACCGTACCCAGTCTCCCCTACAGTAGCTCGTTAAGAATATGGATGTTGATGATTCATTTTAACTGAGTCCGATAATGAATAGCATGGTATAGCACATAGTAGAAAAGTAGAAAAACAATTAAAATTTTGCACAAAACTCTGGACGAATCATAAAGTTTTCATGTGCTATTCCTGATCCTACTATAGGCACCTACTGAAAGCAATAATGGAAACTTGTTCAAACAATCATACTTCATCTTTCTCTCTTTGAACCCTATCTCAAAACCAGTATAGTTTAGCTGTTATGACGACTGTCACTACCCTGGCACAATCGTACCCAGCCTCCCCTACAGTAGCTCATTAAGAATATGGATGTTGATGATTCATTTGAACTGAGTCCGATAATGAATAGCATGGTATAGCACATAGTAGAAAAGTAGAAAAACAATTAAAATTTTGCACAAAACTCTGGACGAATCATAAAGTTTTCATGTGCTATTCCTGATCCTACTATAGGCACCTACTGAAAGCAATAATGGAAACTTGTTCAAACAATCATACTTCATCTTTCTCTCTTTGAACCCTATCTCAAAACCAGTATAGTTTAGCTGTTATGACGACTGTCACTACCCTGGCACAATCGTACCCAGCCTCCCCTACAGTAGCTCATTAAGAATATGGATGTTGATGATTCATTTGAACTGAGTACGATAATGAATAGCATGGAATAGCAGATAGTAGAAAAGTGGAAAAACAATTAAAATTTTGCACAAAACTCTGAACGGATCATAAAGTTTTCATGTGCTATTCCTGATCCCAGCAATCGGTCTGATGGCCAAAGTCGCCACAACAAAAACAGTAAAAATCGATGTAAGAATGTGAGAAGGTGTGATGGTGTTCCACGCTCAGACACATCGCGTCAATTATAAATGTAACAGTGAATGCAGCGTGATTGGCACGCGGCGAGTAAACGACCATGCACAGATCACGTAGGAAAAGCCGACGTACCCGAAATAATTCATTCATTTTTTTCCCTCGAGATCACATCGAAATCAATCCAAAAAACGAGCAGCTATTCGTTCGTTATAATAAAAGACCTAACGAAATAATTTCAATGATTTAATTGTATAGTGAATTAATTTCATGCTAAATGGTGTAAAAATCAATGAGAATCAAAGAACCGTTAATCTATGGACATCAAAGTATTGAATTGTAGCATAAGTTACATACTGCACGTACTTTAAATGATTGTTCAAAGTCCATGTTTCGAAACCGTCCAAGAAAATTGAAATTTTCAACTTATTCATCAAAACATTTCTTTTT